GCCTTCGGCTAGTCCGACTAACAATGTTGCTATAGAGAGATATGACAGATAAATATGGAATGAGGTGATATGTATTGAAATCTCTCTGTTGACTTACCTATACTCTTATCGATTTTATAAGGAATGACGCCATTGGGCCACAGACTTCTTTTAAACCTCACTGCGGCAGAGTAGTCCTGGGAACTAGAAGAAGACCTCTGCTTGGGTAGAATGATGTCATCATTAAGAATTTTTTCGAATCCTTAAAAGGCAAACACAAAGAATATGTAAATCAGGCTAGCTAGAAAGTCGTCATACGTTTGCATACAACAACAACAAATTTTATCAAGACCACTCTAAGACCTCGCAGTTAATAGTCTGACTATTCGAGACAATTATAGACTATTATATTCGAGGCGAGGGCGATAAGAAAAAAAAAGAAGAAAACTTGTTACATTAGATAGCTAGAGTAAATCAAAAGTTCACGACTATTATACCGAGTTTTCTGTCATAGTAGTGCTTTCTTTTTTTTCTTTTTTTCTTTTGTATTTGGAGCTAAAAAGTAGTAAACAATCCAAGGTTTCCGACCTGTTATGTCACATCTGCTGCTACACAGTGTATTACATAGTACAGACATGGTAAGCCGATTGAATTCGTTTACTCGACAATTTGATTATTTGCACCAGGAGAGAGCGATCCAATTGTTTGTGTCTAATTTCAGTTCTCTATCAGAATATTGATAACAAATTTACTTTTAATATTTATCAAAGCCAAAATGGAAGAAAACAAACAAAAAAACTGCAGAGTAATACTGAATCCAGCATATGGAAAATGTTTGCTTTCTGGCACTGAATACAAACGAACTACTCGTTTAAAGCTGAACAGAATGTTTGTTATGTCATCGTGGGAGTATCGTGAGAGTATTGTGTATTTACCTTGTTTATTGTTCGCTTCCACAACAACATCCATTGCTTTGTGTTTATAGCAATAAATCGTCCTGAATATGACAAACATTAGAACAAATCTCCCAGTAGACATTGTTGAATCTGTGAAGGGTCACTTGCCGTTATTAAAAGAAACCTGATTATCGTCACGTCACTTCAGGCCAATATCATTTATCAAACAAGACGCTTTTAGCTCGCTTACTCGTGTTCTGTAATCGGTTCACACCGATTTAACGGTGAAGGAACACTTCGTAAATTTCACCAATATGAATACTCTTGAGCTGATAAACATTTCCGTGAAAATAATAACTTTGATTTTTTTCCCTCACGACAGGTGCAGTTGTTTGTCGCTTTGAGAGTTTCGTGTRGTGAAGCGGAAAAAAGTCCAATCGACGTAAGACCCGTCTCTGCATGATCAATAGTTTTTGCCAATACTCTRTTAAACCTCTTCAGTAGACCATCTCACTGGAAAGGATGAAAACACCGCATGTTGTTAAGACGGAGATCGATATTTGATTCTTTTGGCCTCAGTTTCTSGCATCGAAGATGAACATTTACGTTATTTCGCGCAATACCTACGCATTTGTTAACGTATAAAAACGCGTTACGTTCACCCTTGCGCAGCAGTCTGTTTACGCAGTACAAAACACGCCGTTAAAACTTAGCACTTAGCGATAACAAACCCTTTAGCGATCTATTTTACACTGTGCTAGCCTCAATACCATGAAATGTATTATTTTATTCAGCAACAGCCCATTAAAATTCTGTTCTAAATCCGATCTCAAGATGATACCGAAAGAGTTTTAAAAAAATCTTTAGCATCTAGTGAGTATAGTTTTCAAATGCTGTAGGATATCTTTCCAGCTACTTCTCCCAAAAGCAAACACCTACCTTGCTTTTACGTAAACTAGAGTGAGTTCAAACTACTGGTCATTTCTTTTCAAAACAAGRAAATCTGTTCAAARATCAATCATTTCTTTTCTTAACTGATTACAAAGCCTTTTTTTGTTAATTGAAAAGCGTCTACGGAAGTATTTTTGGAACAAAGTTTTTGTGATAGCATTTCAAAAGGTGTTTGTATGCGTATTTTGATTCAGAGAGTACTTTTAGTCTTTCAAGATCAAGCGAGATTRTGCTCATATTTTCAAAACATTGAAAAGAGACGCGCTCAAGGGATTGCGGTTGGCAAGAAGATAAAATAATGATAAAAAACAGCCAGAAGAAATATTAGGTTACATTTAAATAAAAAAATCAATTTACAATTCACGGTTAAATTGAACTTGATCTTTATAATTGACTTTGGATGTCTAAACCTAAGACATATATAACATGAGGAGGAGTCCAAAAAACATTAACATCTAGCAATTTCACTTCATGAATACTCTACTTATTATTAATGTCTCAAGCAAATAGCACCAATTTGCTCATCAATTACCGGAACATTATTCCRYTCTCTAGACGGGTACCTCTCCTGTACCAAAGAAACTCGACGCAAACARAGRTCTGTCCAGCAATTTATACCCAAACACAGCAAGACCGCAGTCGGGTCTTGTCAAACTTAAACATCACAGGTGTTTTCAAATGTTTTTGACTAAAACATTGAGAACAGCGCACGGAATTTGGAAGTTCTCAGTTAGACTCCTACATGACGTCAAACAATACTTACAAACGCTTAAATTATAATTCGCCAGGCTAATAAGGAAGGAAATTACGAGTATGATTTCATAGGACCCTGGTTTTTGCAGCATTACTACTAAACTCAAACTTCCTTGATTAATCATTCAGAGTAGCAAGATAAGCGGCAAAGACGATCAAAAATCTCCAATAACACCCAAAAACACTTTTGGAAGCACTTAAGACAGCTTAAAATGAAAGTCAATAATTCTAGTTCGTTGGTATCGAGTATTGAGTTATCAAAAAGTCAAGGAATTGCATGGGTTGTGGTGTTTAGTTTTGAGGCTTTGGTGATTATAATAGCTAACAGTGCTACGCTTGCCGTTTTTATCACAAGCAAATACATCCGTAAGCGAAGCACCTACTGCCTGATCAACTTATCCATCGCTGATCTGCTGATTGGAGGTGTACCAATGCCGTTATGGGTTTATCTCATTGGGTGTCATCATCGACTGTGGGCNAACAGCGCACGGAATTTGGAAGTTCTCAGTTAGACTCCTACATGACGTCAAACAATACTTACAAACGCTTAAATTATAATTCGCCAGGCTAATAAGGAAGGAAATTACGAGTATAATTTCATAGAACCCTGGTTTTTGCAGCATTACTACTAAACTCAAACTTCGTTGATAATCATTCAGAGTAGCAAGATAAGCGGCAAAGACGATCAAATCTCCTATAACACCCAACAAAAACACGTTTGGAAGCACTTAAGACAGCTTAAAATGAAAGTCAATAATTCTAGTTCGTTGGTATCGAGTATTGAGTTATCAAAAAGTCAAGGAATTGCATGGGTTGTGGTGTTTAGTTTTGAGGCTTTGGTGATTATAATAGCKAACAGTGCTACGCTTGCCGTTTTTATCACAAGCAAATACATCCGTAAGCGAAGCACCTACTGCCTGATCAACTTATCCATCGCTGATCTGCTGATTGGAGGTGTACCAATGCCGTTATGGGTTTATCTCATTGGGTGTCATCATCGACTGTGGGCCGATTCCAGGAGTCTCAGTGCATCTAGCATGGTATATTTCCTAGTCGATCAAGTTTGCGCCTTTGCGTCGATTTTTTGTTTGGTGTTACTATCCTTGGAACGAAKTTRCGCCACAATCGCYCCAYTGCAYCATCGAAGGCTTCCAGGWGGTTGCTATGTTCTTTCTATATTGTTTGTTTGGCTACTCTCTTGTGCAGTTTCCTTATCCTCATTTTTGTCGCTGTTTGTATTGAAAAACAAAGCATTATCCACATACATCCCTATGATAGCCATATCTCTCTCAGTTGTCKTACTGTGCTTGGCCTATTCCTCTATCTGGATGTCGTTTCGAATGAACTCCTTTGAACGTAGATCATTATCTAATCGAGTTATGATGTTCGATAGAAAACTTGCTAAGACACTGCTTATTGTAACTGCGGCCTCCCTGATCACCTGGCTACCATTCGCCATAGTCAGTATGTCTGCAAGCTTTTACAACATTATGTTTGATTTCCATATTGTCCTTGCTGTGAAAATGCTCCATTATACCAACTCGTTGATCAATCCAGTCATYTATACTCTTAGAATAACAGAGTTTAGACGTGCAATGCTTTGTTTGTTTACAACGAGAGGAGAATTGATATTACGCAGAGAAAAAACGAGTTTTCTGCAGAAACAAAGACAGAAAGACAGAAGTACAACCGCAGAAACGCGATTGTAACAATAATGGATCAAAGCGTTAAGAATCGCAACAGAAAACTATAGCTATAACAAGAACAAAATCTGCACTAAAAAATGAAAAATAAAAATTCGCAGAAGAAAAGAGAGCTGACAAAGGGATCTTCGTGACAAGACTTTCTTTCATTTTTCAGTAAAGTTGTTTTTTTCAGAAAAGTGCTGTTTACCACTTCTACGAAACGAGTAAAAGACATAAGATGTTCGCTTGATCACAGCATGCTACAATATCGACAAAAGGGCTGAACCCACCACCGTGCGGCGTGGTTAAGAGAGGCTGTGTATTCACAGAAAACCAAGGATAATGCATAACGTGCTGCTCAAATGGGAACGAGTTAACAACTAACAAAATCGATTGGGTTCCCTGTATTTAACAATTCTTTAGGATTGTTGACGGAATAAAATAACGCTAAGCAATCATAATATTAAACAAACAAAGATAAAAGGACCAGCACAGCACGCAAAGAACCCATTGCAATATGAATTGAGCTGCACC